CCTGTATATTACCTTGTTCACCCACTGTAGGAGCCTAAGGTGCTCCTGTGCACCCAGCGGCAAGGCATTGTCTCCCTCAATCCCCTTGTCTCTGTCCTGTCCCCAAATGTGGGGTTTAAACTCAGTTCATTTGCTGTTTTTGCTGGAGGATCTGCTGCCCCTGTCCTCCTCGCTGTCTTCTGATCTGCTTATCCTCGTTGCTGTCCGTTTCCCCTGTGCCACAGGGAGCAGAAAGTGGGGGGAGCGGCAACCAGCCCAGCCCAGGGGCCTGGGACCCCCATGGCAGAGCACGGGCATCAGCAGTTCCCAGCCTTGGGGTTGCAACCCCTTTTGGGCTTGCCTCAATTAAAAAGGGGTTTCAAAGCCACTGAACGATGATGATGAAAATCAAAGAAGTGGAAGTGGGTTCCTGAGCAAGCTGGCAGCAGTGCAGTGTGCAAGGGGTGCACACTTGCAGCAGCTCGGCAGCGTGGAGAGCAGCTCAGTCTATGGGCAGGCAGGGGAGCAGATTGAGACCCCAGCGTGGGAGTGGGGCAGGTGCGAGGGGTCCTGGGCTGTGTTAGGGGAGCAGGATGGAGCTGTGGGCAGCAGGCTGTGACCCAGACAGCATGGTGGCACATGCCCCCCCGCCATCTGTGTGCCATGTTGTGTCCTGTCAACCTGGGCTGGAGGTTGCCCCACTCCTCCCCTCCCCCACCCTGGGGGGGCTTGCCCTTCCCCGCCCCAGGAAGGAGAACTACAGGCCCCAGGCTCCTTTGCGCGGGGGCCTCCAAGGCCGGCGCGCGGGCCGCCTGTTTTCCGTTCGAACCGGCCAATGGGGGCGCCGCTCCTCAGAGCAGAAGGGGTGGGGCGGGGCCCGCTCCAGCCAATGGCGAGGTGGCGCGGCCGGTATGAAATGGCGGCGGGGGCCGAGCAGCAGCGGGGCGTCAGGTAGGCCCCGCGCGGGGACTGCGGCGGCGGCCGTGTTTCGCTCCGTTCTGTTCCGTTGCCCGGGTCGCGTCCTGCAGCTCGCTGCGCTCAGTGGCCAGGAGCGGCGCCCCGCCCCCCCGCCGGGGCCCTCGCTCCGCCTCCTGCCTCCCCGCGCTGACCCCTGCCCTTCATCCTGCCGCCCCGCGCATTCCTGCCGTGCCGCGCCGGGCTCGCACAGCAGGGTCCTTGTCCCCGACACGCGGGCGCATTGTTGGAGCGCGTGGGTGCCTGCCAGCCGCGCCCTCGTCGCAATTACCGTGGGCGATGCCCCCGCCTCTTTACTGCCTGCCCGGCACTGGGACGCCTCGGGAAGGCTGCCACGACGGGGGCAGGGAACCGCTCTCCTCCGCTGGCTGTGCGGGGCTCTCGCGGCCGGCTTGCCTCGCGTCCTCGTGGGGCGGCCGAGGCTGCGCGGAGGTGCCGGGAAGGCTTTGGACTAGGTGACCCTCGAGGTCCCGCGCAGCCCTGCGAGTCTGGGGAGCGGGCGGCCAGGGGCCAGGGCAGTGACCGTGCTGCAGACGTACAGGTCCACCTCGAAGCCTAGCCGGGGGCGATGGCCCTCGGCCGCCCTGCCTGCCCTGTGCCTGGCCACAGCTAGCTGGCTGCTGGAGGCCCCTTCCTCCGTAGCAGAGGCCCTCCCCCTTCTCTGCTCACCAGGGTCTCGGACTCCTCTGGGCTCCGGTAGCACCGAGTTATCCGAGCTCCTCCCTACCCTGGGCTCTTCGACTTCTGCTTCTGGGGACAGCCCCGGTGCCACCTCACGCCTGTACTGGGGCTTCCAGGCACTGTCCCTCCTGTGTGACCTGGGGCAGAGACAGCGGGTGTGTGTCCTGGCTAAGTGGCAGGAGCAGATAGAGCTCCTTATCCTTCTGCTGCCTGCCTGCCACGTGTGAGGGGTACCAGAGCGTGAGCTGTGCTGTGCTAAGGCAGGGTGGTAGCGGCCCAGCTGCGTGGGCTTCGCCTACTGCTGTGTTTCCCAGGCTGGCAGAGCTCACTGGATCCCGGCCTCCCTGGGTGGCAGCTCTTGCCAAGAGCAAGTTGTTGTATTTTCTGGTCTTGGCAGGAGCACGGCATCTCTGCTCCTCAGGTGCACCTCGCTCTAGGAAACGCTTGGCCTGGGTCACCCTGTTGGATCGCTGCAGCTGCACTCTGGGTTTTCCTCATCTGGAAAGCAAACAGAGCAGTGTGATAAGATGCCTATTAAGCAATTGCTGTGGACGTGCTAACGTGTTTGATTTTGGTCCATAAAGCCTTAGCAGACTTGGGGCCCAGCCAAACCACCAGCTCTGTGGCTGATAAGGCAGGTGCGATCGCCTTAGCCAGGAAGATCTCATGGGCCCTGAGCTAACGTCTCTGTTTTGCCAAAGATTCCCTTGTGAGTATTTTGGGCTTTTTGTAGGTCACTGCCTGCTGGAGGCCAGAGCTGACTTCTGGGCTGGCCGGGTGCCCTTTAAGACTGGAGGAGGCCTTTTAGGGAAGAGCCTTAAGCTTCCCTCGTCTGTGTGGCGCTTGTGGCTGTGTAAGGATGCAGTGACTTTGTTGGCCCCTTTAGCTACCTTGCACTGTAGTGTTAAGCCCTGCCCAGCCAAAAAGGCTTGGCCCTGAAGCTGCCAGTCAGCACCACACAGCAGCTGAACGGTGCTGAGCCGCAGCTGTGAGAGCTGAGGAATGAAGGCCACCAGTACCTGGTCGGCAGGTATGTTGTGAGGCAGTGGGGCCTTTGGGGGCACCCCAGGGGCAGTGCATCTCTTCCAGCCCTGCCCCAGCTAGGTGCTCCATAGCAGTTGTGTGTCTTCCCAGTGTGTCCATGCGCCTTGGGATAGCGGCTTTTTCCTCCCCCTGTGGGTTAGACCTCAGGATTGAGTCCCCCATGGAGGACAGCCTGCTGGGATGGACAGACATGGGCTGGGGTTTTCCAAAGGAGGTGGTGACTTCCACTGGCATTGGTACTGGGTTCCTGTGTAGGGGGAAAGAATGTGGGAAGCCACTTAGCCCTTCATAGCATCCGCTGATGTGGGGGTTGCAAACCTGGAGGGTGACAGGAGTAACTGGCCGGGAGACATCCAAGGGCCTGGCAAGCCTTTCGGAAGCGGAGAGGACAAGTCTGAGCTTGCAGCCGAGGGACCGGAGGACAAGAGCAGAGTGAAGCTTTCATGCTTCAGAGTGAGATTAAAGGACAACGAGCTGTCAGGGGCAGCAAGCAAGTGTTCAGGGCAAGATGTCACACGCTACGTAGCAGCAGGACGTGCCGGGCTTGGCTTGCCCTCAGGGCCCTAACCTGCCTGGCGGGGAGAGGGACGGCCTCTGCTGGGCAGCTCCTGCCCCATTCCACGTCCTTCAGGCCCAAGCAACTCCCTGCCCTGCCTCCTCCCCTGCCCCAACCATAGGGGCCTCGGCATTTGCACCCTGCACTTGGGCACGTCTGGGTGACTTGGCCGGAGGCCCCAGAAAGGGTTTTATTTCCAACTCTGGACAATGTCACTGATGGTGCCTGTGGCAGAAAGCCATCTTGGTTTCTCCCAGAAAATCTCTGCCCTGTGACAATGTGATTAAAATCTCTGTGCTGCGACCATTTGATTAGGGTGGGCCCAGCAGAGGAGACCACACCCTCATCCTGTCTCTTTAGGTAACTTGAGCTGGCTGCATTCCTGAGGGAGTGGGGAAACCTGTTCCCTCTGCCTACCTGACTTGCATCACTTACCTGGGTAAGGGGTTTCTACCTGGTGGGTTGGAATCTGCCCGGCATCTAGTGATGTATTTCAAATGGGTTGGCCAACGGCCAACCGGAGCTGGCCTCCACGGGCCCAGGTGTATGAGATCACAGGGGCTATATAAGTTAGGACTGCCCGGAAGGCGGTCTCTTCTGCCATGCGGTGGAGCTGAGGCCTTGGGGGGGAGTTCAGAGAAGCTGCACCATCTAAAAGTAGCTTCTCCCCCAAAAACTCATGAACAAGGAACAGCCGGATGCTAGAAAGGATCTCGCCAGCCTCTGGATGAAGCGTGTGAGTAAGCTACTCGAGATCTGATAGATATCTAGCTGGCAGTAACTCAGATGCGTGAT